GTTAGCTGTAGATGTCCTCTCGTCCACAGAGGCTCATTTATATGCAAACACCCCCACTATTATTTAGTTGAATCTCCACACACTTTTGTAACTGGCTAGATAGGAGGATATCAGGAGAGGTATAAAGCGCTGTGGTTTTCTGCCAGAGGCCCAGGATTGTCCACAGATTTTCAACTGGAATATAGTGAAGTGGACATGTTAAATCACTGTGTCCATGCAGTAAAAGTGATGTGACATAAGGGTTAGGGCTAACTGCCAGCAACAGTGTGCTTTTAAAGGCTTAAAGATTCTTAAGCCTTTAAAAATCTTAAAATTAAGGTCTTATGCTGTCTTAAATTTATTAAGACAATAAAAGTCAGAGTCGCATGCTAACATCGAGTTGTGTGACTCGAAGCGTCGAAGCTAATGGCAACTAGCTGCTGATATACCTTTGCTAGTTAGTTAGCTTTGTTCTCTCTGTCATAAGCATAAAGCCATGTTCAAGCTTCATTGTAATGCAACAAGTTCCCCCAATCATCCCCTATATTTACAGTTTTCTGGGTCTTAAATTTCACTCAAGGCAATGATAAAAAAAGGTCTTAAGTTTTAAATTTGACTTGCAGATGCCCTGCACACCCAACATCCTTCAGATCAGCCTGGACATAATGGAGCGTCCTGGTCAACAGTAACAGTAAAACAGAGTATTTTAAGTTAAAATATCAATATCGTTGTTGTTATTTGACATGATGTTAGTATGTCTAAGTGCAGCACAGGATCATAGAGCTGAGCATCGTCAGGCACCAGCTCTCGTTTGCTCCTCTTGCTTCTCCCCTCTGTCAGCACAGTGCTGAGTGAGCGACTAGTGGTCTGTGTTTACCTTATTAATTAACCCAGTGATCCAGAAACACACTCCTCCTGGTAAATAGACTGACAGCTAAAGGAGAGCAAGAGAAAGTTGGGATGGAGGGGCAGAGCACAGATGAGTGGCGATTGAGGGAGATCAGAGCGTCTCAGAGGAAAACTGACACGGCGGCTTGTTGGCTGATAGATTTTAGAGCCTCGTCAGTCAACACCATCCTCCTCCATTACCTTCCTTCTATCTTACTTTTTCTGCATTTCTTTGTTTTCTGTACCATACTGTATGTTTTGCTTTCTCACACACTTCACAAACTTCAGATATATTCAAATGCAGCTGATTCCAGTTGCCTCAATGGATTCTTCATCAACCTTATCTTTTGTTCACACATCCTCAAGTATTCTGTGCGTCTTTCCAGTTGGCTGCAGCAAATTCCCATTGGAAGTGTTGCACAGCGAAATTCAAACCAGACCTTTAGCAGACAAATAGATAGACTTGACAGCACTGCTCTGAATCCATTCCAAGTGTTTTGTTCCCCTCTCCTCCATGTTGGGCCATAACTGTGTCCTGAGGTCTGCAGTTCAAGGCCATACAAGGAAAGTTAACCGACTGTGCACAATGAAAAGACTTGCATTCCCAACACACTTCTTCCTTGGCCATCAGTTCAAAGGCATGCAAGGCAATAGGGATCTTATTTAGTTAATAAGTTAACTGACAGGCAGTTGGAATCAGACATGTTTTTCTAGGTCACCTCTGACCAGAACAGAAAAATCTGATTCTTTTTTTCCCCCTCTCCTTCACAAGCATGTATTGTGACGTACTATTTTTTATTGTGAGGTCAGTGGCTGTTTGATGCAAAAATGGGCAAGGTCTAGTCTTTGTTTTCTGTGCTATCCAGGAATTTGTTGCTGTGAGTGATATGGACTTAAAATTTTATCATTATATTCTGGAACTATAGTTCTATATAGTTATAGCTATAATTATAACTATGGTGATAACTATAATGGTGGCAATTAAAAAAACTAACTTCTTCTCAGTCTTTTTTTAGGGAATTGTATGGTCCAGAGTGCATGGCACAGCAGTTAGAGCACAATAAACACAAATGCTGCTCTTGAAAAAGATTTTAAAGGACAGCAGTTTCATAAAGAACAGTTTTATCACTAAAATGCACACAGTAATTGCACTTAATGTTTAAATATTGTTGGAATTTACTGATATTTATTAATGCTCTCATGAAACCAACAGTGGAGAGAAAAAAAAACTGAGTTTTTGGATTTTTCAATATCATTAACTGGAGTTTAAATGAAATCGTGATAAATCAAAATTCTTCCAATTTTTCGAACAAAACAAGAAAGCATAACCCAAAGTGGTTGTATTTTGGGTGGAATTTTCAGAATGATTTCAACGCTTATATTTCTCAGTTTGGTTTTGATTTATACTAGCTCTGACTATCACGTCTCAGATATTCCAGTTTAATGACAAATTTGGCTGCTTTTAGCCGTTAATCCAGACACAAACTGCTCCATTGATTGAACTAAAGTTTGATGACCTAAAAGTTCTCAGGGGACTTGAACAGAGAGGTTTTTGTCCTGCTCCTCCCTCTGCCGTTTCCCCCTCAGACACTTTTCCCTCTTCTGTCAACCATTTTATCCCAGTCCCCTTATCTCCTGGTGCCCCGCTGTGATCAGGTGGTCATATCTGATTTTCCTACTTCCTCTAGCACACACACACACACACGCATTCCCTCTTCCACTTTTGCTGTTAGCATACCAGACGCACAAACACCAACACCCCCTTCCCATCACACACACACAGACACACACACACACATATCTCCCGCTGCTCTCTGGAGGAGTTGAAGAGATGTCCAGATAAATCTTTAGCAGCTAAAAGCCTTCTGTGTGTTTGCGTGTGCATTTTGGGGTCAATACCACAATGTCACAAAGGGCTATTAGTCAGTAGTAGATAACATTTCACTAACACTGCACATTGGGAATATGGGCTCTGTTGATTTTCAGAAGGTTTATAGGACTTTAATTACCAGATAGATTGACAAGCAAAAGGAAAATGAAAACATGGTTTCCAAAAATGTTTTACGAATAAAAATCAGAAAAGTGTGATGTGTGTTCCACCATCTCTACTTTAATACTTCTATTTTGTAAATCTAATCCATCCACTTGACAGTTGTCTCAGAATAATAAATGTAGAAGCAGATTTTCCTGCAGTCCTACCTGCCAGTCTTCCAGGGTAAGTTTCTACCAGTTGCGCAGATGTAGAGACTGACAGTTTTCCTTAACCTTCTGTGTGAAATAGATCAAACTTTAATGAAGTCTGTCGATGAAAAATGTGTTTTTCTTTTTCTTTTTTTTATGTCTTGCCCCAGATTTTCATTAGGATTTAGTACCGAGCTTTGACTGAGCCATTCCAGCACATGAATGTGGAGGGTTTCCACCAGAGAAGACTAGAGCAAGACTAGAGCAATCCACCAGCATCCCACTGTGTTCTTGTGCTGAAAAATGTTCTAAAATCTTAGAGGTGCATGATGAGGAATCATAATTTGGAAATAATAGTGAGGCCAACAGGCAGGTGCAATTCAATGCATCAACTATAAACCTAGCTTACTCTGTCTTTACTGTCACTGTATAAAGAACCCTATTTAAAATAAAGCCTTGTAATACAGACTTGTAATACACCTGGGAAACTCTGATATGCTTTATGCAAAACATTTCACTGTGGTTAATGTTCTGTATTTAGCTTCAATTACTTTCTTTGCCCTATAGTTCAAATGCCTCCCCACTGCATGACGTTTCCACCACCGTGTTTTAGGGTGTTGACGGGAAGTGCAGGGCCATGTGTAGTTTTAGTTTTCACCATTTGAAGCATTTCACTGTTGGCCATTTGTTATCTCATCTCACTAGAACACCGTCTTACACACTTGCTGGCCAAATGAATAGTTTTGGGAAAACTGTAGATTTTGCAGTTTTTGAGTTTGTAGTGAATATTGGTGATTGTATTCACTTTGAGGTTCAGAGCAGAGTCACAAAAGTATATTAAAAATGTAGAGATTCATTTTTTTAGGTCTATATTAAATATTTGGACTCATGAGAGATTTATGTTTAAGGTATTTCTTCTGACTGGAAATTTTATCAACATTTTAAAGATGCCCAGTTAGAGTTATGACTTGACAGTCTGTGGAGGGAGCTAAAGATTAGGGTGATGACAAGGAGCCATTCAGACATGGAACTTTGTCATATAAGATAAATGGTTAAAAAAAACAGTGGAAGAAGATTTTTCATTTAAGCCTTTTAATGCCATATTAGAAAAACACAAAGATGCAAAGAAACAAATAATTCAATTCATAAATATATATATATACATATATATATATAATTATTTTTGGCAATAAACATTTTATTGCCTAAAATGCAATAACCTCAACCTTTAGTTAAAGCTTGATCATTTGCAGCATTTGTATCTACAGCTAAAAAATATTTCTGTATTTCTAACAATGCTTCTTAGTTCCGTTATTTATTAATTTTTAGATTACCAATTAATAACTAGATATTATTTTTACAGAATTTGAACTAGGTTGAAACCAAATCCACAGTTTTTAAAATTTTTCTTAACTTAAATGCAAAATGTATAGATTTTTTTTATACAGTTTTGGCTTCATTACTGCTCTGAGAACATTGTTCCTTCAGCAAATGGCCTTTTCTGAGTCTGTGTACTGTAGTTAACAATTAATAAATTACTAAGTTTAGTTGTTGATTATTTTAAGAATCAATTCCTCACCATTAATCCAAGGAATTGTTTCAGCCCTGCACCGATTAAAGACAGAAACTGAAATGTAAATCTGCAGGCGTGCTCGAAGGGGTTTTTGATTAATCCTGGTCTTAGCTGTCTGTCCGTTCATAGAGTTGATGTCTGTACCTTGGGTGTCTGTATATTAGTAACACCAGCTGAACACTGCAGCAAAGTCTGGTGAGAAGTTAGCTGGAAATGACTTTTGACAGCAGTGGTCCAGGACCCACGCTGGAACAGACCTCTGCTGCTGAGGACAGGCTGTCCACTCTTTCTCTAAAGTCTCCACAGGTCTGTTTTTGATTGGCTGTTGCTTTGACTCCAGGATGTAAACTTGATTTATCTCCTCCTTTCTGTTTTTCAGCCCTGCAAGGCCCTTTCGATTCCCCAAAAGGTAAGACCTGCCAAAAACAGTTTCTTCTCTGTCAATGTTCTGGTTTTTGCGAAACTCTTCTCCTCCCCTCCTTTCCTTTGGTCCTGTCATCCATCCATCACTGCTCTTCTGGAGCCATCATTCCTTAGCAGTGACTCATGAGAGTTGGAGGAGGGAGTTGTATTTCTCCCTGTACCTGGCCTCCAGTAACCAGCAGCTTGGATCACCTCATCTGTCCATTCTTCTGCAGCCTAACGTATAGCAGGAAGAGTGTTTCGGAGAAGAGACTCATGTTTTGCCGGCTGTCCATAGGGAAGGGGGGCGGGGGGAATTCCCAAAAGTCTGGATGTAAAGTAGGCTGATTAGATTTCTGTCATGTTTCCAGTTATTCTGAGCTGATAGCTGATTGGCCAGTGGTTGTGCTGGGAGTGTGTACGGTGCTCATTGTGATTTGTGCGCTGGTGGGAGTCCTGGTGCCCGACCTGCCAGATTTCTCCGACCCGCTCCTGGTGAGTACAGACACATTGTGTTCTCCTTTTATAATGGAGTTAAAGGTTTCTTGCCAAACAAAGAAGGTTTTAGAAACCTTTCATCTCCTCATCTTCAGTCGTCTGTAGTTGCATTTCCATTACAAATGTTAATGGTCAGCTGTGTTAATGCTCCACTAATGTTGGGGGGGGGAAAAGCATAATTTAACAATTATGGTGTTTCCATTAAATAAGAAATGCAATTAAAATCACAGGTGAATATGTTTCTTCATGTGACACGTCATTAAAAAACGTGCAACCCCATCATTCTCCTACCACTTCCTGTCGTATTTTCTCTCTTTTCAGCCAGTACCAACATCCAGTTGTTCATCACATGACTCGGATGATGTGAAAAGTGCTGCAAAATGCACTAATTTTGATACAATTTCGAAAATTGGCATATTTCCATTAAGTCAATTTATTTTCGAAATTCCAATAAATTTGACCATATTATTGACCACAATAATATGGTCAATGTAAATGCAGCTAATGACATGCTGAGTTGTTTTTCTGCACTGCTGTAAATAGCGTTTGAATATTTAACCCTTTCGGGTGGCATCAGGATTTTTTCATTTAAAAAACGTTTCGCTAAGTCTTTCTTTTTCCCGAAAGGGGTTTGAGCCTCGGGGAACTGCCATTGGCCAGCGGCTGGTCACATGGAACAACATGGTGAAGAATACAGGCTACAAAGCCACACTGGCCAACTATCCCTTCAAATATGCGGACGAGCAAGCCAAAAGGTAACCCCTCACACATCTTGCACATGAGCTGCCCAATCATGCTGACAACAACACTCTTTAGTGTGGAGGTTGTCACTGAAGAAAGAAGACTCCAAGTTAGCTTCCTTTAGTATCGACGAGGGCTTTAGAATGAAATCAGAGGAAGTACAGCCTTTTCAAAGGAAAATACTGAGACGTGTGTTTAGTCCGTTTTTGATGGGAGAGAGCAAATGGAACAATGTCGCTGGTAACCATGGGGACAGTGATGCTGTATCACTCACATGAGATCAACAAAAGAAACACAGAAGATGGTGCCAGCATGACCTCTTCAGCCACATGCTGCCATTTATCTAAAGCCCACCACCATCCACTATGCACCTTTTTTGTGACTTTGTACCATGTTCGTAATATTTCTGGCACATTGCGATGTTTGCTGTTTTTTGACACATATCTCTGAACTCAGATGCTAATTCAGCTAACCTGCCCTCTAGTGTCTACATTGCCCAACAACAATGTCATTTTATTACACACATTAAAACATGCAAATTGGCCTCTAACTTTAGGCTCTGCAATATTTAGAACATACATAGTAGACTGATGTTTTTCTACTATGTGCTTCAGTATCCACTATAACTGTTGATGCAAAATGCTGAAGCCATGTTAAGATATCAAGTCTATAAATATTTAGTTTGGTTTAAAATAAACCCTGTTTTACATTAACTGCTCCCTCAAACAGACTTTATCTCTTTTCCTAGTATGAATAATTAATCAGTGATCATAGCAAAGAAGCAGAGAAAATCTAAAGTCAACAGACCATAATGTTTTTGCTCAAAGCACAGAGATTCACAATAGTTGCATAGTCTCAAATACATTTCTAGTCCCAGCTCACTCAGGGTAATTATTCTGATTATAATGACTGCAGTATTCTGTTCCTGATGGCTGACTTCAACTTCTACCCTCTTTCACTTTTCACGTTGCTGAAGTTTCCAGGTGTACCCATAAGTATTTCTACATTTCTACAGGATGATGAACTTATGGCAAAAATGGAACGTTTCTGCTTTGTAATTTTTGTGTTCAACTACAAAAAAAGAGAGGAATATATCTGAACAAGGTTCCATGAACGCTTATCTGATCAGCTGAGTTGACAGAAATTTCAATTAACATTTTGTGGGACTAAGAAAATGATCTTTTTTTTGCATAAATCCCATCTTTTTCAGTTTAGTATTTCAGTTTTCAGTTGAATTTAGTTCAAATTTTAACCCAAATGGATGGAGGAATCCATTAAGTTATTTTTCCTTCTCATTTCTAAAATTGACCAGAATTTTGCTTAGCAGCTGAATCTAACAGAGTGAATCTCCTGCTACTGTTTTCCAGTCACCAGGAACCTCGGTGGTCAGATGACCACTTTGAAAGAGACAAGCGGGAGGTTGAGTGGGACTTCAGCAAAGAGTTCTTCTGTGACATACCAGGTAAGATTAGCTATACAGATAAGGGAGCACTAAAACTTTGGGTACAGTGCTGTGCTAAAGTTTTTGCATTTTATTCACTAAACTTCAGTGTCCTTGTTTTGGAGCTGTGTAATAGAACCACACAAAGTAAAGGATAGTTTTATAGTGATAGGATAATTATGAATGTGTTTTATTCAACACTTATTTCTCAGCTTCTCCTAAATATTCCTTTCACTTCACTATTACTCCCCACTTTGTGTTTTATCTAATAAATCCCAACAAAATATTTTTAAGTTTGTAACTAGAGAGACACCGATCTGATAAATATCTGTATTGGTCCCAATATTGAAAAAAATTTCTAGACTGAGTATCAGTGAAAATGTGCTCGATGCATAAGGACAGATCTATTCAGTCTAATTCTATGCTTTGCGCGATGTCATTCTTTATTATTTATTTTACACTGATTTTAATTATTTTATCTAGAATTCCTAATTGCACTTTCTGAACTATTTGAAAGAATGTCTGTTGCAGTTTATTTTTCTATGTTTGACTGAGTAGTCAACCTGTTGTTTTGGTCAGTTTATTTATTTTACGTTGCACTTTTAATTGCACTGACTGAACAAATTCAAGTTATATTGTTTTTACATATTTGGCTATACTTGTGAAGGTATGATGGATGTATTTAAGTGTGCTATATTAGTGCAGAGTTATTATATATATTTGTAAGTACAATTATTTCGGTGTTTAAAAAAAAGAAACATTTTATGTCAATTCAGTTCCGTTTTTTTTTTTTTTGTATCAGCATCAGAAGTGAAAAAAGTGGATAGGTGCATCCCTACTTATAATGTGACAAAGTATAAGAAAAGCACACCCATCCTCCTCAGACTAAAAAATGACTCTGGATGATCTTCAACAAATTTTGTACATGTTGTGTTCAAAACTAGTACTGTGAAAGGCAGTTGAGAAAATGAGTTTTGAATGATTTTTTGTCTTTCAGATGGTTTCTTCTTAGAGTTGAGATGATTTTTCTAACTTTCTGCAGGTGACAGTTATTCCAGACTAGTGTTTGCGTCGGCCGAAAGAAAAAGTCTGTGGAATATTCAGGCCATCAAATCAATGTGCAGCCAGGACAACACAAGAGTAAGTCCACTAAACAGTGGAACCCTTCACTGTTATCTCCATGCTGTGTTAGTGTTACCCTCTTTTTGTCTGTGTTTACTTTTCGTGTGCTTCACAGGTGCGCTCCCACCGTGATTACCTGAATCTCTGTCAGCGCACCAATAACGTCTCCTGTTGTCCAAGCTGGACACTGGGCAACTACATAGCTGTCCTCACTAACAAGTCGTCCTGCCAGAAGATCACAGAGCGGGACGTGTCCCACACTCTCAAGATCTTGCGATCGTGCGCTAAGTACTACCATAATGGCACGCTTGGACCTGATTGCTGGGACATGGCGCTACGTCGCAAAGATCAGCTGAAATGTGCCAGCGTGCCCCGGAAGTGCACAAAGTACAACGCCGTGTACCAGATCCTTCACTTCCTGGTGGACAAAGACTTCCTGAGCCCAAAGAGTGTGGAGCATCCTCCAGTGCTCAAGTACAGCATGTTGTTCTCTCCCACAGAGAAAGGAGAGTCCATGATGAACATCTATCTGGACAACTTTGAGAACTGGAACTCCTCTGACGGGATCACCACCGTCACAGGAATTGAGTTCGGAATCAAACACGACCTCTTCCAGGACTACCTCCTCACTGACACGTTGTACCCCGCTATCGCGATAGTCATAGTCCTGCTGGTCATGTGTGTGTACACACGCTCAGTTTTCATCACTCTGATGACAATAATTGCCATCATCAGTTCGCTGATCGTCTCCTACTTTCTTTACCGAATGGTCTTTAACTTTGAGTTCTTCCCTTTCATGAACCTCACTGCCCTCATCATCCTGGTAGGGATCGGGGCCGACGACGCGTTTGTTCTTTGCGACGTGTGGAACTACACCAAGTTTGACAAACCGCACGCCGAGTTGTCGGAGACGGTAAGCGTGACCCTGCACCACGCCGCCCTCTCAATGTTTGTCACCAGCTTCACCACCGCTGCCGCATTTTATGCCAACTACGTCAGCAACATCACCGCCATACGCTGCTTCGGGGTCTACGCCGGCACTGCCATCTTAGTCAACTACATCCTGATGGTGACGTGGCTCCCTGCTGTCGTGGTGCTACATGAGCGCTACCTGCCCAACCTGTTCATCTGTTCCAAGCCCCCACAGCAGCATCAGGGAAACTGCTTCACGCAGGTCTTCTGGGCTGCCGTTTGCCACAAGATCCACAAATGCCTGTTCACCGTCTCCGAGGGATCACGGATCTTCTTTGAGAAGGTGCTGCCCTGCGTTGTCATCAAACTGCGCTACCTCTGGCTCTTCTGGTTCCTTGCCATCACGGTCGGCGGCGCTTACGTGGTCTGCGTGAACCCCAAGATGAAACTGCCGTCCCTGGAGCTGGCCGAGTTTCAGGTGTTCCGTTCCTCTCACCCTTTCGAGCGCTATGACGCTGAGTACAAAAAGCTCTTCATGTTCGAGAGAGTTAACCACGGCGAGGACCTCCACATGCCCATCACGATCATCTGGGGGGTTACACCAGAGGATAACGGAGACCCCCTGAACCCCAAGAACAAGGGGAAGCTGATGCTGGACAGCAGCTTTAACATAGCCAGCCCAGCATCTCAACTGTGGATCCTTAACTTCTGCCAGAAGCTTAGGAACCAAAGCTTTGTCTTTCAGTCAGAAGATCAGGACTTCACTAGCTGCTTCATCGAGACATTCAAACAGGTCAGTACCGCCTCTCCTACACAGTGTCATGGATTTTGTCCTTTTTCATTACTTCAATGTGTTTTATTTGAATTTTAGGTAATAAACCAACAATAAAAGTGCATGATTGTGGAGTGAATTGAAAGTCATACTTTTCAAATTTGTATAGAGAGAAAAATATGAAATGTTATAAATTTTTATTCTGCTTCTTTTACTCTGACAGCTCTAAATAAAATCCTACACAACCTGTCACCTTCTGACGTTACCTAATGACTAAACATTTTAGTGTAATTTTTAGTGTAATTTAGTGAACTTTGCCATCAGTGTAAATCCAGCTGATCTGTAAAGAGGTTTGCTAAAGAACAATAAGCATCATGAAAACCAAGGAACACAACAGACAGGTCAGGGAGGAAGTTGTGGAGAAGTTTAGAGCAGGGTTGGGTTCTACAACAAACTCTGAAGATCTAACAGAGATCTGTATAGTCCATCATCTGTAAATGAAATGAAGATGGCACAGCTGCAAACCTACAAAGATATGGCTGCCCACCTAAACTGACAGCACCATGGTCATTTTGGGGGAGCTACAGAGATCGGCAGCTCAGGTCAAGCAATCTTTCATCAGGCCAGTTATTAGTCATTCACTCAACAAACCTAGCCTTCATGGAAGAGTGGCGAGAACAATCTATTATTAAAGGAAGACGGTAAGAAATCCTGTTTGGAGAAGAAGAAAGTCCTCTGGTCAGATGACATAGAAGATGGAGGGAGTTAAATACAGAACAATTTTGGAAGAAGAAAAGTCTCATAACTTGAGACTGGAGAACAATTTCTGCTTCACAATTATGTACAACTTTGTTTGGCCTTATCACTTAAAATTCCAATAAAATCCAGTTTGTTCTTGTAATCCTTATGAAGATTTTAAGGCATATGACTTATTGTCAGACACTGCGTGTACAGACCCATCGTTGAACAGATACCTTATAGTATGTGTTCTACTCTAATAGTGGATGGAGAACCAGGACTGTGAAGAGACCTCAGTCTACCCTTGCTGCAGTCAGTCTACCTTTCCCTATAAGAAGGATGTTTTTCAGTTGTGCATCAAAAGAGCCATTATGGAGCTGGACCGAAGCACAAGCTACCATCTGGACAGCAAGACACCCGGACCTCGATTTGACATCAACGACACCATCAGAGCCATCGTTTTGGAGTTTCAGAGTACCTACCTCTTCACTCTGGCTTATGAGAAGATGTACCAGTTCTATCGTGAGGTAGTGTTCATTATTATCTCATAATTAATTTGTGTGAGAGTACTTTATACTCAGACTAAATTTTTGCCTCTGGTATCATATTTATATTTTAGGTGGATGCCTGGATCACAGAGGAGCTCCGCTTCGCCCCAGAGGGTCTCAGCCATGGCTGGTTTGTCAGCAACCTGGAATTCTACGACCTCCAAGACAGTCTGTCTGGTGGCACTCTGGTTGCCATGGCGCTATCTGTGACAGTGGCTTTCAGCGTCATGCTGCTAACCACCTGGAATGTCATCATCAGCCTGTACGCCATCTTGTCTATAGCCGGGACCATATTTGTCACAGTGGGCTCCCTGGTGTTGTTGGGCTGGGAGCTGAACGTCCTTGAGTCCGTCACCATCTCGGTTGCCGTGGGTTTGTCCGTGGACTTTGCCGTCCACTATGGTGTCGCTTACAGGCTCGCTCCAGAACCCGGCCGGGAAGGGAAAGTGATCTTCTCCCTTAGCCGGATGGGCTCTGCAATCGCCATGGCGGCAGTGACCACCTTTGTTGCCGGAGCGATGATGATGCCATCAACGGTCCTGGCCTACACCCAGTTGGGCACATTCATGATGCTCATCATGTGCATAAGTTGGGCTTTTGCTACCTTCTTCTTTCAGTGCATGTGCTGCTGCCTCGGACCCCAGGGCACCTGCGGTCAGATTCCCCTGCCCAAGAAGCTGCAGTGCCAGGCCTTCAGTGAAGACGCACCCTCAAGCCCCTCTCCTGAGGGGAAGTATCAGCTGGACAGCAGGGGCGGAGAGGCAGAGCATTACGAGCTGGAGCCGTTGGCATCCTGTCAGAAAACTGGAGTTAAACCAGGAGAGAAAGAAGAGGCGGAGGAAGAACTGGGCACTCGGTTCTGTAATGGAGCCCCTTCTCATGCTAACCACACCATGTCTATACCACACATTCACAGCAATGATACAGGCAGAAAAACACGGCCAGAAAATGGGCTCGTTACCTCACTCCCTACGCCATCCAGGTGCCACTACACTCCCAACAACTGCACATGTGTAGACCCCCCATCCCAGCTTCTACAGCAGTGGGCCCCGCATTCCTGCACTGTGCCTCCCCAGGACTCCCCTTCCTGCCCCCCCACCCCTCAGCTTCTCCATCTCTCAGGTACCGCCAGGACCAAACAGAATGCAGCCCTGTTGCCTCCAAATGTGGACGCGGTCTATTCACATATGGACTGCTGTGTTCACTACGTCCACTGCCCCCTCACCCATTTCCATCACTGCTCACAGGGCAGAGCAGTGGGCCACAGGCAGGGACCGGCCCATACCTGCTATCTCAGGAAGTACTGTGTCCAACCACCCTCAAACCAGGACACCGGCCAAGCTTCGGGGTCACCATCTGCTCCACAGACTCCAGACAAAGAGACGAAACATTTAAGTCCTGACAGTACCCAGAATGGGAGCTCCCAAGTCTCAACGCGACCCAATGGCCAGTGTCTCAGTCCCACTGCACTAACAGCTCATCATGAAAACCAGAGGACGAAGGAAAGCGAACACTGCTGTGATAAAAACCCTGCATCCGCCATTAATACAGACTTAATCACAGACATTGACGTTTGTCATAAAATCCCTGGTAACCAGGAGAGGCCTGAAAGTATTCCCGTCACACGGGAGCAAAGTGTGAAAAAGTGCAAACGGAACTCAAAAAGAGCGCAGGCGTCCTCCGCCTCTCCAAAGAGACTCTACTGTTTTAACAGGACGTTGAAAGTGAAGTGCAATTCAGTTTCAGAGTTTAGCTTGCCAAAAAGCGAAGCCAGTGTGCCTCCTGTTGCAGTGAACACTCAGCCATCCTCTGAAAGCTTATGCTGATTCATGGGTAAAATCGGCGAAATAGCAATAGCCCAAAAATGACTCACACATTTCTGTGCAATCACATTAGATGCTGGGTGTGTGTTTTCACCAAATCCCAGCTGAACTATGAAAGATTTTTTTTATTGTTTTCTACTTATCACTTTTTCACATGCCAGATTAAGTACTTCATTTTTCCAGTGGAACATACTTATAATGCGGTGTCATGTAAAAGATAGATCATCTCTTTACTAGCAGCCATTTGCACCACCACTACACCCCACTGTAGTGTCTGAACTGTGGTGTCTTGCAAAACTATTCAAACCCCTGGATCTTTTCCACATGGAGTCACATGATATCCACAAATTTGAATGTAGTTTATTGGGAAATTATGTGATAGATAACCTCTAAGTAGTGTATGATTATAAATTGGGGAAAAATAATGAATGTTTAACATTTTCTGCCAATAACTGGGGGCATCCATCTTTGCAAAATTGCTCAAGCTCAGGTTGGAAACTGCATCTATTAACATGCATTTTCAAGTCTTGCCATAGACTCTTCATTGAATTAAGCCAGAGTTTTGACTGGGCCATTATAAAGGTAAAGGCAGCTCATGCTTTGTTTAGGGTCATTGTCTGTACCTTTTCCATTTTCAGATGATGAACTGAACCGTTTTATCCCACTTCACAACTATGCTGTACTTACTAGCTGCACTTTTCTATTAGAAATATGCGCCAATATTTGTCGATATTCTGCTGATGCCGGAAAAACAGAATTGTAAATCACATGTAAATATGCTTGTTCATTTGATAAGTCATTAAAAATCATGGCAGCGATGGATGTAAACAGTTACATGAAATAAATTCATAGTTCATAGCCATGGTGCTAGCGCTCATCATCTATCAGCCATCAGAGGAGAAGAGGCGTGTTTCTCACACGTTGGAGCGACAAGCACCATGTACTTGGTAGCAGCTACGTTTGCGGCATTTGGCCATGTCACAGAAGATCTGTGGATTCAACATGTTGAAATGACGCACAACATTTTATAAACTGAGATGCTACGAGAGCTTTGGTGGAGCATTGTCTAAAAAAAAACCCCCAAACAAACCATCTTTCTTCTGCTACTTTCTTTTGTCTTTGTCTTTTCTGCCAGTAGAAACAACCGATTGTTGATCACATCACTTGGGTCATGCAAAAAAGTTTTGCAAAATATGTAGATTTTGTTGCGGCCAAAAAAAAATAATGCCTCATCCTAGCACAAAAACATTTTAGAAAAAAGTGAGTATTTTCAAAATTGCCGTGTTTCCATTGAGCAAATTTATTTTTGCATTTTCAATTTGCGCAATTCTATGGTTAACGGAAATGCAGTTACTGTTATTCCATTACATAAATCCCAGTAAAATACTTTGGTGTTTGTGGTTGGAACATGACGATAACATGAAAAAAATTCAGGAGAATGAATACTTTTGCAAGGCACTGGACGTGCACTTATCATTTTCGGTCGATGATCACGCCAATCGTACCAGTGTGCCATGTTTCACAAGCTGCTTAAGGTGGTTTATGTGTCACCTTCTGTATTTCCGAGAGCTCCGGTTTTGCTCAAGTCTTCACACGTCTCACATAAAAGCTGCAGTGTGTGATTAAAAGGCTTTCTCTTACCCCCATTGTCCTGTTACTGTTTGTATTCCCAGAAGGTATCATCCCCGAGGTAAAGAGTCAGGATGAATACCAGCTGTACACCTGTTTCATTGTCTAATAAAGGCTGGTGCCTTTCAGCCTCTTGGTGTACAACCTGGGATTTCTTCTTGTGTAGACCTGTCGTAAGTCGTCGCAGCAATGAAGTTTTTCATAAGCATTTATGTGATTCTGGAGTCCAAATCCGTGTGCAGTTTTATTCACAAAGCCTCTATTTGAGGATCTTCTGAAACCTTCAACTTAGACGCATCAATAGATGGATGAGAACAACATCCCTGTGCCGAGAGTCTCATTACATTACGTCATGACATCTACCGACAGAAACGCTCTGCACTTACAGGCCGGCTGCGGCAGACAGCTTTAATTACGCGGAGACAACGCTCTGGCACAGAACACGTAGAAACCGAGAAGCTGGTTGCCATCACTGGTGGTTTGCTGCTCAAAACAAATTTATATTTTAAATGAGTTATGCTTTTTAGATTTGGGGAAAAAGCTGGAACAAAATCTGCTGACTGTTTGCCTCTGATCTCTTTTGAAAGAACTTTATATGACCATGCTTTGTTTCTTCCTTGTCTCGGTACATAAAATGTCCTCGAAAGATGTTAACCTCAGGAGTCGGCGGCCTTGCAAAGATGCGTTGACCCACTGTTGAACCTTAGATCAGGGGGGGAGTGGTATGACTTTCATCCAGGCCATTGAGCACAGGACCAGTGACATATTACTGTTCTTGTGAGCCAATTTACAATTGTTACAATTATTACAGGCATTTTGTAGGCATTGTTGCAGGAGCCTGGGGTGCTAGCAATAGTTTTAAAGACATCCCATCATTGTACACCCCTAAACAGAGCTGTGTTGACATTCCACAAACTGAAGCTCTTACTCTAGGGTTTCCCTCGTCATTGATCTGGTTTGAGGTATTCATGAACTGGACCTCACGGCATAAAGAACTTAAAGGTCTCATTTTTGTTAACATATGTGATTTTGTTGCCTTCTTCTAGCCATGACATTAAGCATTTCACAACCAAGTGTAAAGCAGCCACCGATGAGTCAGCTCCTCTAAATGTGAGGTCGTCCTTCTTGACTGGATGAAGACGAACTCCTCCCTCCGGTCAGGGATCAGTATTTGCTTCAAGCTGAAGATTTACAGTATCTTGATGTCTTTTTGTGTGCGAGGGATGGTAGGATGAAGTGGGAGTCAAATCGATTGGCTATGCCAGGTGTGTCAAACTCCAGTCCTCAAGGGCCGCTGTCCTGCAGTGTTTAGATGTGCCACAGGTAAAAAACAGTGGAATGAAATGGCTTAATTACCTCCTCCCTGTGTAGATCGGTTCTCCTGAGCCTTGCTAATGACCTAATTATTCATTTCAGGTGTGGTGCAGCAGAGGCACATCTAAAAGTTGCAGGACAGAGGCCCTTGAGGACTGGAGTTTGACACCTCTGGGCTATGCTTTCAGATATTGAATTAACATTGACAGCCACCTCGTTCAGCTCAGCACTTATCTCTTCACATTGAGGGATGCTTGTTTACAGTGCAGGCAATTTCCAGTAACATTCTTAGCGTCATATTGGTGCATTATGTACATCATGGCCAAACGTTTGCGATTGGGTAAAATTCAGGACTTCAATGGAGTCCCCGCCTCCAGGAAGCAATCGTTTATCAATACCCAAGAGCCCAGACTCTCTTTACGAAGCAAAGTGTAGAACGAGTGGCTGGTTTACCAAGCTACATTGGGAAGAGACCCCAGGGTAGACAAAGAACTAGCTGGAGGGACTGGCCTAAGAACACCTTGCTAACTCTGATAATGAGCTGGAGATAGAGATGTTTCGGTTTCCATTTTGGACTTGCTACTTTTGTAATTGGTATTGTTTTATATCAGTATTTAAAAACTGGGTGTGGTTGTAGAAATGCTCCTCAAGCCTGAAGTCCTTCCTGTTCAACAGTCACTCTGTGAAGGAAAGGAAGGAAAAATAGCACTGTGTTTTTGCTACCGTTTCACTCTGATCCGCCATCACTCCCTCAACCCCAAAACAAACTTACACATACAAACAGGTCCTAGAAAACACATTACATAAGTTAACACCCACACTGGGATTGCTTGATGCCTCTTGAAGGAAACATCTAATTTGGGCTCAGACAGCTCAGTCTCTAATCCACTGCGCCCCCACCATTGCTGGTCTTCTTTCTCCTCAGGAGCTCAATTGCCCCTGTGAAGATGAGTCCACTTCTCTAGATTCCCTGTAATTATATTTGCCTAAACGGAGGTCAAATATTAGTTGTGGCCATGGAGGGGGGTTCATGACGTTACCCCGTGAGGGAGGATCTCTCTCTCCGGCATGTGGATCTGGTCTGACTAGGACCCACAGGCCTGAAATAGCTGTGAGGAGGCCGCCGAGCTCGAGAGCTTGTTTACAGGGTAAACATTTGCTTCCAATTTTCAAATTACGTGCTGGTGGAGCTGCTGTGCTGCTCCAGATTTATGATCAGAACAGCGTTTAATTTTCAGGACACTTGAGCGATGTAGTAATTAATTGGCGTTGTACGGATCGTTTTAGATCGACTCCCTACCCCCGTTTTGGGCTGACAGAGAAGCTTATCATCAACCATGTCAATTATGGAGACTTACAGTGAAAGTTGTACATTTAAATAGAGCATGAAATATAGATGATTGACATCTGTATTCTCTAATGACATTTGATCTGTCAAAAGCCTTTGAAACTGAGGCTTTCATAGTGTATAAAGGTGCATAAATATCTGCAGCAGAATGTGGATTCTGCTGCAGAATCCACATTCATGTTTTTATCTGCTCTCTAATAGAAGTTCTCTTAAGATGTCTCAAGATCTCTTCTATGTGTCCTTTTAGCACTAATAATGCCTCCCAGACATACGGACAATCTGGAAATTCTAGGACTTGCAGCTCAAACCAAGGAGGTGGTTTGAATCAGGAAGATATTTAGGATGCCACATCTTAATCAACACATTAATCAGTCTAAAGTAGAGTAGAGAAGAGCAACAGTAGCTGTGCTTCCATTGGTCCTGAATATAAATTTTGGGAAACATTTCCTGACTGGGACACAATGCTGGCCTTCACAACCCCCTGGAACAGCAGTCAAAAAATCTGTTGGTTCTTGTAGCTTCAGCTGACTGAGAAACAAACTTTGTGGTTCAGATTTAATTTTCTGGTCTCGCAACAGATGCAACATTTTTACAGTTATTTTTTACTGCCTCTTAATAAATGCAAGTATTCTTATCTTTAAATGACCAGAAACTATTGTGCTGTATCAGCAGGCTGGGCAGATGTCTGGGTTCGAATGTGTTCACATTAATGGACTGTCCTCAGTGTATAAGTAGTCCAAGTCTGCAGACTCACCCTATTAATGTTCTGAGCAGCTGGCTCATAAAAGCTGAGAGGATACAGGCGGCCGGGGCCAAAGGGCCGGAAGCTTCCCACTGCCCAGTAGCTTCCTGTTTTCAGATGGATGTGGAATGGAAGGAAACTGGCTGACCCCTTCAGCTTCACCCCGGTCCAACTGAGCGGAGCACTGAGACGGTTTGTGGCTCTGGGATTATAGTAAGAATTTAACAGGGTCATTATTACATGAAGCAGGTTAAATATCTTGATCAGAAAGCTCTAAAACCAAACAAAATGCTAGGATTCACTGAAATCCCACGAGAAACGAGTGAAGATGCAGCTACCGCCATCTAGTGGCTAAAACACAGAGGACAAATTACACATTTGTCCTCTGCTTTTTTTCAGCTTTCACTACTTCTGGTTTCATAGTGGCAGTTTGCGTTACGTCAAGATTACTATGAAGAATATGTAAGTTGATCAAAATGAAATCACAAAAATCTAGTTTGCACAGTTTCTGTCATAAGCTCAGAATTACCAAAGACTGTAAGGAGGTCCAAATGTGCCCGAATCTATAAAAACGAACCATTTTTACTTAGTAGCATTTGAAGTACTTACAATTAGAAACAAATATGTAAATTATTTAATATATGCATAAATTATTTTTTTATACAAAAGCATACGCTATAAGTTGAATCCTGCTGCAACCCAGATTTTGTTTCATCTATCCAGATTTTTGATCACAATCAATGGGTGGGGTTATATCTATTGTCGTCAATATAGTTGGTCTAAAGGGGACTTTGTAGTCCAACCGACCATTCAGATTTTAGCG